TGACTTACAATCTATGATCCAACTAACTCAACAATGAGCAGCTGTGAATGGGGAGTCCCATAAGGCTTAGTGTTTCAGTCAGCCTTCTGTATAAGCTGGAATCCTGATGAGCTGGCAAGTAAATGCAAGAAGGCAAAGAAGAGAGCACGTTTCTTCTACCATTGTCCTTCTGTAGGGCTTCAGGAGAAGGTATGGCACAGATTAAAGCTGTGTACCACCACACCTGGATTTGGAATTTACTCTGTCCCAGACTAGCCTTCAACTCAGAGATCTGCATGGTGTTGTCTCCTGGGATTAAAGGTGTGTGTACTACAGGACACCTGGCTCAGAGACTCCTCTTTGTCCTTAGTTGGCCAGATAACTTTTCTTCCATCCCTGGACCCAAGCCAGCTGAGGAAGAACCAAGGATGCAATTGCTAAGGTTTATTTTCTTCTTCAAACTACACACTCACTTTTGTGCATCCGAGTGTCAAGTCCTACTGACTGGTCATTTTCAGTCATTAGGCTCATATAAAAACGACCACCACCATAATGTCCATCAGCCCAACCTGTGTCCTATCCCTCCAGGTTCCAGTGTCCAGCCACAGCTCTGCTTGCCTCTACCAGGCTCTCTGCACAAGGAATATCCAGGTTAGATCCCTTCCCATCCCAATCTCCTGCCTCCAGAGTATCCTGGAGCATGTCTAGCTCCCCTGAGTATGCACTGCACTCTAAATACCAGTGTCTAGCCCAAGGATGTCCACCTGAGGCCTGCTGCACCAGAAACACTTGGTCAGGTCCACCTTCACATATATCTTCTACACCAGGAACATACAGAGACAGTGAGAAGGCCAGCTTAAAAACACAATCAACAAGAACCCGGAAAATATGGCATCTCCAGAGCACAGCTATCCTACTATAGCTGGCACTGGATATCTGAACACAACTGAAGGTCTAGAGAATGACCTTACATCCAATCTGATAAAGGTGGTAGAGGCTTTAAAGAGGAAATGAATAAATCACTTAGAAATGTAGAAAACTATAATTAAACAGATGAAGGAAATGACTAAAACTGTTTAAGGCCTGAAAATAGAAATAGAAGCAATAAAGAAACACGAAGGCAATCCTGGAGTGGAAAACCTAGGGAAGAGAACAGGAACAATAGACACTAGCATCACCAACAGAATACAGGAGATGGAAGAGAGAATCTCAGGAGTAGAAGACACAATAAAAGGAAGTGATACATCAGTCAAAGAAAATGTTAAATCTAAAAAATTCCTAACACAAAACATCCAGGAAATCTAGAAGTCTATGAAAAGATATAACCTAAGGATATTAGGAATAGAAGGGGAAGCACCTTAAGGTCCAAGGCCCAAAAAATAATTTTAACAAAATCATACAAGAAAATTTCCCCAACCAAAAGAAAGAGATGACTATAAATATAAAGGAAGTTTGGCTAAGGTCACCTCATTGAGTCCTGAGAATCTCTGACCTTTCAAGTCTCGGTTGAGGGATATCTGGGTTGCTTCCATTTTGTGGCTATTACAAATAAGGCTGCTATGAACACAGCAGAGCACATGTTCTTGTGGCATGGTGGGGCATCTTTTGGGTATATGCCCAGGAGCTGTATAGGTGGTCTTCAGATAGAACTGATTCCAATTTTCTGGGGAACCCCTACATTGATTTCTAGAGTGGTTATACCAGTTTGTAATCACACCAGCAATGGAGGAGTATTCCTTATTCTTCATATGCTGTCACTTGAGTTTTTGATCTTAGCCAATTCTGATTGGTGTAAGGTAGAATCTCAGTGGCATTTCGATTTGCATTTCCATGATGACTAAGGACTTTAAACACTTCTCTAACTGCTTCTTGGTCATATAAGGTTCTTCTGTTGTGAATTATGTTTAGCTATATACCCCATTTTTTAATTGGATTATTTGGAGGTTTGTAGGTCTTGGAGCATTCGGTTCAATTTCTTCATTTGATTGATTTTATTTCCTGTATTTCATTAAGATATCTAATTGTCTCCTCTTAGAGGCATCTATCTGACTATATTTTCTTGTATTTCTTTAAAGGAGTTATTTATATCCTCTTTAAAGAACTCTTATCATCTTCATGAGATGGGATTTTAGGTGGGAATCTTGTTCTTCAGGTGTGCTAGGATATCCAGAGTTTTCTGTGGGAAGAGAATTGGGGTCTGATGGTGCCAAATTACATTGGTTTCTGTTGCTTGTTTTCTTGTGCTTGCCTTTTGTTATCTTATTGTCCTCGTTATTAACTGGCCTTGATGCCTCAGACTTCAGCAGGCCTCTTTGGAGACAGGTAGACAGGTATGTGTTTCCTAGGTTAGAACAGGCCTCCTGGGAGGCATACATTGCTGTCTCTGCTTAGGGAAGGCCCCCTGTTTCCCTGGTTAAAGCAGGTCTCCTGTGTCCCTAGTTAGGGTAGACCTCCTGGGAGACAGGCAGGCTATGGGGTTTGGAGGGCAAGTACATTGCTGTGCCATGGATGAAATTGAAGGCACAGACCAGAAAAGAGATGGGGCTCAGGCAGAGCCAGATAGATCTCACTTCTGCTGGGCTCTGATGAGGTCCAAGCTTGTGTGGATATTGGGATGGAGGTCTCACCTGTTCCCCTTATTAGGGTAGAGCTCCTCAGAGACAGACAGGCTTTGGGGTCCAGGGAAAGACACTGTGTTCTGTCATGGGTGTAGGTGAATGCACAGAGTGGAAGGGTGTTTACAAACTTAAGGGGAAAAATGTATTTGCCTATCTTGATGAGGAATCATGAAAGGCAACAGATTTTGTGTTTCTGAATATAAAACTGGAGGTTTGAATAAGAATGTGCTTATATTTGACTGCTTAGACAGTGGAACACTTTAAAAGGATTGGAAAGACAAGATTGTGTGGCTTTGTTGGAGGAAGTGTGTCAAATTAAGTGGGCTTAAAACTGGAAATTGATCTACCTCAAGACTCAGCTACACCACTCCCGAGCATATACCCAAAGGACAGTCCACCATATCACAAGGAAAACACAATTTTTGCTCCTGTTGGAAGGGGTTGCCTCTAGTGACAACACAGTAATAGAGAATGTCACTTGCTCTGTGCCTCCTGTGATGGCCCTCTGACCTATACGCTTTTATCAGTTCCTTTCATGAAAGAGGAAATGAGACACAGAGAAATATAGTTATCTCTTCATGACCACACAGGTAGATATTATGGCTGCAGGGATGCTTTTCCAAGTGTCTTGATGCCTGAGGAACAGTCTCTCACAAGTTATGACTGTGTTCATGAGACATCATTGTGGTAGGCATGTGGATGGTGAAACAGGGTTCTGATACTTCCCATAGAAGAAACAAATGGTCTATGGATCAGGTGACATCTCTTCTGAGGTTAATTCAGGGAGATAAGAAAGTTGTTCAGATAACCACAGAGAATATTTTTAGGCAGTGAAAAGAACAATGGAGCTATTTCTGTGGATCTGAGGGGGTGGGTGTCTGGAACAACAGAGTAGAGTGGTGGTGGAGTGGAAGTGATAGGAGTGGTCACAGGGTTAGCAATGAGCCTGGCTCCTTGAGCATTCTGGAATAATTCAGAGCCACAGGGAGCACTGGATGGGTAGACAAAGTTTCTCACTAGAGAAAGGTACTATGTGAGGTTACAGTGCAGAGAACTGAGTTGTGAGGGGTGAGGATTGC